GACATAAGAAGCTTTAAAATGAAAAATTGTCTCCTGAATATTCACTGCAGTAGCTTGAGCAATCATGAAGTAGCTGAGACAGTAATTAGGCAGAATAAATCAAAGTGCACACTGCAGAATTTCTTACAAGAGACCAGTACTGCTCCAAATAGACATTTTCAACATAAAAAATCTGGAATGTAAAATGTTTGGCACATGGTATTTCACTTCTGGCACACTGAAAAGAACAACTCCTCCCTCCAACAAATGATGCATGATCAAAATAAATCTGTCTCCTCAGAAATTCATATGGACCTAAGGATTACTAAGAAGCCAGAAAAAGCCAGACAGTTGAACCATAACATTCAGCTTAGTTTAATCTGTTGTGGCAGAAGGTGTAGTCCAACTTTTAATTCACATTATTTTGAGAGTGAAGGCATCTTTATCAACAGGCAGACCAACCTAAAACATGAAATTCTGTTTAAGAAAATCTTTATTTTTTGCTTTATGAAGAGTCAAAGAGTGGAACAGACTGCCCAGATAAACTGTGGAGTTTCCATCCTTCATACTTTGAGCACATATCTGCGTGTATTCCTGGGTAATCCATTCAATCTGACCCTGCTTTGAGAAGGGGACATTGGACCAGATAATCTCCAGAGATTCCCACCGCAAATATTGTGTGATTCTGTGGTTACTATATATTACACACATTTTTATAATAATTCTGGAATAAAGTTGAGAAAATCTGTCCTAAAATAATTGCTTTCAAACAAAGAGTTCAAAATTTTCATAATAAAAAATAAAACAAAACAAAACAAAAGCAAATAGATTACCAATATCTTTGTGAAATGAGTCAAATTAATCAAAAGAATTTTAGCGGTGACTATAGCAGTGGAATCCTATGTAATCTAAATTATTCCATGTTAGCACACAGATTAGAGGTCTAAAAATAATCACAGAATAATTTAATTTCTTATTTTCCTACCTGGATTCCTGTTTTCTCACTAAATTCCTGCATATGTTCTAGTGCCATATGCAGAAATGAAGAAGCACTGACCCAGCTAAGCCTCACTAGAGTTCAGATTTGGAGAACAGAATTTTCAGTTTAATCACTTTTCCTCCAAAAGGACAGTGGAACTTCAAATTAAAAAGTAGCTCATTGTAAGTTAGGACGTTAAAATGAAATTCCTATAAATCCCCTTAAGAAACAGTTTATTTAAAAAAAACAAACAAGCAAACAAACCTTTTCCTGTATATTGAAAAGACCATCAATTTGCTTAAAGTGCACAATTTTAGGAAAAAAAAGGTGGCAAGTTGCTTTTCAACAGCAAAATGATTACAGCTATTATTAAGCAGCTGGAAAGCAGAGCATATTTCTACAGTAAACTTACAGGTAGGGCAAACACCTATTGTTGAAGGCAAATCAGCAATACTGAAAAATGGAAGCCTTTAAGGATATTGTCAAATTGACTTAAAAACCAAACCCAAACCAAACCAAAGAAGTGTGAAAGTTGCTGACTTTCAAAGGAGTTCTTAAAGACTGTCAAACTTCTCAGGCATGTCTTTTTCAATTTTTCTTATGTGAAAGTCTTAGAACAAAGTCTGCTTCTCCCATTGGTTGATAGAGCTCTTTTCACTGGAATCTTTTATAGAGAGGAGAAAAGCAGAAAAAAAACCCTGTTAAGTTTGTATTTAGAATGACACATTCAAAAGAAAAGGTCACAGACGACATCTGACATTTGGGCTGGGAAAAAGAAAATAAGGTAAAAAAGTGGACTTTTGCAAGGCACATTGGCACAAAGGACCAATTGAAGTTGTGTGAACAGATGAGATAAAATTGATAAGAAAATGTCTGCAGAAAATCAGACAGCATTGGCTCCCGACATTTGCAAAAGTAAATACACAATGCACAAGAAGAAAGAGGCCATAAAACCAGAAGATAAAGTTCAGGAAGGTGTCATTGTAAAAGTACAAGGAGAACAAGATTTTACAGACAAAACAGGTGATATCAAAAGTAGGAAAGACCTGAGGAAGTAGGAGTCTGGAGAAGGCTTTTGGAGGCACAGCCAGTGAAAGAGCGCTACCACAAAGTGTTGGTGGGATATCAAAGGGGCAGATTTAAGAGAAAAGGAACATGAAAGAATTTTGTTAGATAAGTTTTCTAAGGAGTTTAGACATTAAAGTGAGATGGCATATAACTATTAATGACCTATAAAATTATAAAAGTCAGTTCTGGGCAGAAAACAGAAGAGAGCAACTGAAACAAAACATTGCTAAAGGGGCCTTGCATGGGCAGGATAGTTTCACACTGAGAATGTTTTTGTCTAGGTTCTCCTTACATACACAATCTAACCTCAAGAGATATGCTAAAAAGGCAGTAGAAAACTGTGCATGATGGCAATTACCTTGTAGCAATAGTTCAGTTTCAACTATAAGTTCAAAAATTATTTGATTTTTGAAAGGACAAATTCAGTAATCTTTGAAAAAGTAAATCAATCTGTAAAAATTAAAAAGGTTTTTTCATACATCCAAAAAACCCCAACAAACTCAAGCCTTTTTAATACAAGGTGCATTGTGCATTCTTCGTAGTAATTGTGATCTAAGTAAAGAAGCAGCAATTACTTCTAGAAGTTAAACATTCTGAAATTTCAGGTACTGCATGAGTTGCACAGGTTGTACTGGGAATTCTTTTTTGAAAATAATGAGATGATATTCACCACTGGAGGATTAATAAATCACTCTGCAGGGGAAGAATTTTAATGTCATTAAAAAAGACCTGGTGTACCTCTACATTTATTTTTATGTAGTCAGGTGGATATATACAACATAAAAATGCTGAAATTAAAAAGAAGATTTGAATAAATGGTTAAATCACGTTTGTTTTCTCACTCTAGTTATTAAAATGCAATAATTACTAAAGCCCCACACTAAGTGCTACTTTCTGCTTCCATGATGCTAATAACAGAAAATTATTGTCATGGTTTTAAAATTATTATGAAGCAACAGAACAAACAAGTTTCAGGATGATGTTCCAAAGAATACATCAATGAAGAAAGCCAAGTGTCCATGCTCATTCTTGTGGCAATTGAATGGGCATTTGCTGGTGTGGTGTAGCCCTGCACAAGTGCATTCCTGTGTCAGCAGTCAGCAGAGTTGTATTAATTTGTAAACATGCTACAGGAAACAGGTGTTAAAATCTGCTTAGATTTATAATTTGATATGAAATCATGTCAAAGACCATCTTAATCCATCCTAAAATAAGCACGCAGCTACAAAATGTTTATCAGATAAACAATAGCTGTCATTTTGCAAGTAATCAGCAACATACCTATTTCAAGTCATCCCTGGCATACTTAATGTGATTTCTCACTGGGTCTACCCTGAAAATTTGCATCGCTTGTAAGTAAATCATTAGCTTTTAGAGCACAGATGTTCTGACAATCTCTCTCCTACATAGTTCCGTGTATCAGGTTTTAAGAAGTTACTTTCCTAAAACTTTTATAAGAGTAAGGTTTTCTGAGGCTTAAGGAGAAACAAGATAAAATATTTTTTGTATTTTTATTTTTTTACTTCAAGAGATAGGAATTGGTTGAAATTGAATGTAAGGAAAAGCAGTAAAATGTACTTGTGTACTACTTCAAAACCATTTTTCAGTCTTCCAGCTTTGAAACTTTCAAATATATTCATTGCAAAAAATGAAAGATGAAAAACAAGTCCCCCAGAAAACCTGCTAATATTCAGAGCTTGAAAATAATGTAAAAGGTGAAATTATTTGTCCAAGCATACAAAAGTGGCAAACATCGTAAGCATAAGTATTATTCAGCACAAGAAAGCATAATATTTTACAGTTTAAAGTACTAAAATTTCATAAAAGAATACTGAATCACACACTGCTGTAACTGAAATATCACTTTTTTGTTGATAAATGAACATTTAAAACCCAAAAAAGTTTAATAATAATTGTTCCCCTACTTTGGGAAATCCACGAGGAGTAAATGTGTTCTAAGTGCTGTAGCTATGTAGTTGTTGACTTATGCAGAGATCAATGGCTATCACGTGGTGAAAAATAGGTCAATAGGTCCCAGAGCAGTACCAGGTAGTAAAATTCAGCACCAATGGTGTTTCAAAGAATTCTGAGACCCACTCTTGGTGTCTACAGAGAAAATCTTTCTAAGCAGTTCCTTAGAGACTGAAAAATTACAAAACTAAAGAGTTGGTCCACTATACCTTTACAAAATGCAAATCTGGAATAAGTTCACTGCCTTTGATGCACAACTCACTGCTCACTGCATAACCTTTATTCCCCTACACTGACTTTGTTTTGTGTTACCAAAATTTAGCAAACCTTAACTACACACACAGTCAAAATTATTTTATGGTGGTTGTGCGCCATTACCATAAGACAATTTTCCAGATTCATGGAACAGAATCTTTGCAGTGTTTCCTTTCAGAAGCAAACAAAAGAGAGAAATTATTTCTTATACTATTGGATCATTCTGATGATATAATAAGTCTTGTAACTTAAAGTGTAATGAAAATGAGATGATACAAAAAAATATATGCTTAGCAATAGGCAAAATAATTTCTAAAGCTGCTTTAAATTCTGCTTATTGGAAAACACACATGAAAAAACACATTCATTTACTCTCAGCCATGCTGAAATCAGATTCCTAGATGGAACCTTTGAAAAGGTCCAAAGTTTCTCCAAAATACCAAAATATACTTCTGTAAATCCAGAAAGTAAATACATTAAATCATGGTACATAAAAACAATTTTAATTTTTAGGACAAAATACTCTGTCTCCTAAATTCCATGTTTACAGAACCTGCAGCAGTATGTAAATAATAAAAAACCCAAAGAGATTATTTATCATTCCATGACATATATTAATTTCTTCTTTGGAAAAAAAAAGAGGTCTGTATATTGGATAGTGGGCATGTGAGAGAATGCTCATGCAGGTGCAATTCTTAAAAACATATAAATGTTGGTTCTTATCAATGTTTTTGCAATTCTCACAAACCTTCCTTTTTGTCTTCTGCAGCAATCTTGGCTTTTGTGTCTGTTATGTCTTTGAAAGAGGCCAGAAAGAGTACCACATCTCCTTTTTCATTCTTTATAGGAACAATATCCAGTAAGCACCAGAATGAAGACCCTGCAAGGATAAAGAATGAATTTAATTCAAACAGCTGTCTTTTAGAAGAGAGAGGGAGGAAAAAAGTGAACTGCTTATTTAGGAGGTCAGTAGTCAGGGAATCACAGATGTTCAGCTCACGTAAATCACTTTGCATCACTGGTTGAAGCTCTGTAATACTGCTTTCTCCAGACACAAGACATTAATTTAAATGCAAAATTTATCTACAGGGATCATTAATAGCATTTAATGAAGCTGCTTACTCCTCTGAAACCATGCTTTCCTTTGAACTCTCCACTGATGTTGCTTATTTCCTGGAATAGCTTTCACTTTGTTAACTTGGCATCTGTAGCATTCATGTCTGCTACAGAATCATTCTACCTTAATCAACTGACTTGATACTCATTAAAACCTCTTGACAGAAGACCTGCTAGTCAGAGCATCATTTCACTAATTCAAAGATATTTAAATTAATCAGATATCAGACTTAGAATTGAAACAAAACTTGTTGCACAGACAGTGAGATATATAATACCACACATCATCTCTAAAATTAATCAGCTTTAATTTCATAATGTTCGCCTTTGTAAGACTGAAGTTGGACAAAACTGAGTTTGACAGTATTTTTAATTCTTGTCAACTTTTCTCTGTCCACACCTGCTACATAATGATGCAGTTTATAATAAATTCTTACTGTTTACAAAGATATGTTTTTTACTTCCAATTAAATAATTCCTAAGTTTTCTATCAACACCACTTGGAAGAAGAAAATATTTAATGCCTAGGTACAAGCATCCTAAATCCCACTCCCATCCATTCTGGGTAACTCAGCCCAGTACCAGACTTTTGTCTCTTTCAGGTTTTAGGTATCAACGCTAACTACTTCCACCCACCATCAGCCCACAAATATTATTTATAAGAGATATAAGTGTTACTAGAGAGTTTAAAATTTATTTTTGTACATCTTTGTGCTTCCACAATCTGCTGCTTCACAACGTACTATTTTTAGAGTTCATTTATAAACAAAAGTCTACTTAAATTCAGAAAAAACCCAAGTCTGACTTCCCTGGACCACTGCTGCCCCAGCTGACTACTGCCAAATGATCAGCTGAGTTTTGGAGGGCTCCTTGGGCACAGCAAGCAGACTGGGCACTTCCTGCTGTGCTGTCTTCTGAAGTTTTCAGTTTTGAAAAAGAACTGGGCGCAGGAAGATCACTGTTAAGTTTTATAATTTAGATTTTCAAGTGGAAGTTCCCTGGCTGCCTTTTGAATACTGTAGATGAGCATGATAGGTGAAAGAGCAGCTTTTCTTTTGAAGGACCACAACAGTTAAAGGTAAAAAAAATTATTTCAAAGGAAATTCAACTGGCCCTCTGTGCCCTGATCAAACTTTCCAAGAGCCACACAGGCACCTTTGAGACTAACATTACTAGTTCAGCAATCTGGAAGCACTTCCACTTAAGATATTTAAAAAAGGAACATGGAGAAATTGGAACAAGAGAAAGGAAAGCTGGAGGACAGAAAAACCTGCAGAAAGAAGCAGACTTGCTTTGTATTGGGTTTAAATATTCTTATTTTGAAGACAAAGCAAGGAAAGATTCTCTTTTGAAAGAAGGTAAAACAGAATCAGAAGCAAGACGTTTCTATTGTTCTTTCTCTTACTTTGATTCTCCATTCTCCTTTTTTCCTTTTTTTTTTTTTTTTTTAACAGATTTGGCTCTATTAAAAATTCTAGGAAAAAATGCTCAGTAGCATTACTGTCAGAAATGTTTTAGAGAGTCACACTGTCCCAATCTGAAGTGGTCCATTCAAGGAGAAGAAGCATTAAGAAACTTTACTGCTTAAAAATAGAAACCTAAGTCTTTACAAAGTACCATCATAACTTCTAAACTGGCCAAACTCCTACTGGCAAAATTACTCTCTACCCAGCTGCATTCTAGCAGTAGTTTCAGTGGGCAAGAAGTCTCTCTCAACTCCTTCCTCTAAGCACCACCAAGAGGGCCAATGGTCTTTTAAGAAGATGTTTCTATCTCCTCCAGAAGTGGAAGTATGTCTTGCTCTTTTCAATTGTTACATGTCTTTTCTACACACACACACATACATGCACATTAGCCATTAAGGCCTGAAAGAAAGTTGCAGACATCGGGCATTTCAAACAAACCTAACTCAGTTACAGTAGTATTGTATGAAATGGTAATTTGTAGGTTTAAGGGAGTTATTACAACATAGTTAATCATTAGAGACAAATCTATTGAATATCTAATGGTTTAATGCCTTGTCTCTTTTGTATAATCAAAATACAGTTGAATTCTTTAGAGGTTTGTTAGTCACCAGTGTTCACTAGTCACTGAAATTGTCCCACATCCTGTCATTTAGTTTCTCTCAATCATATTTTCTTTTTTTTTTTTCTTTTCTCATTCTCCTTCTCTGTAGATATATCTGAAAATATTTTGACTAAGCAAAGCAAGCATGTATAAAATTTGGTGCCACTAAGGAAAACACACATCCAATATATTCACAGGCTACTTCTCTCCTGGACTGGAGAATTCCAGGCTAATGCTCTGTGTGGTGGGCTGTCAGTTCTGGCTGTATTTATACACAGAATCTTTAGAAGCTCTAACTAGTTGGTTTGGTGGGGTTTTCTCTGTGTTTCAATTTTATTTGCCTTTTCTCTGAAAGGAGAAAATTAATATGAAGTTGTTTTTAGACTGGGTGAGGTGATCTGTTTTAGGTCAGGACAAGGTCAATACAAGGTTGCCTTCTGTCAAGAACAGAAGAGCTCTCTCTCTTTCACTATTGAGGAGCATCCTTGGAAAAATAAACTGCAATGTAATCTGTTACATAGCTTTTACTGAAAGCCAGCATCACATAATTCTATAAACCAAAAGCAGAACTTTCTACACATCAAAAAAAGTAGTGCCCTATTTTGTTACGGTTCTTTTGAATGCACTCGTCTGTGAGACAGAAATTCCTTCCCTGCTTCAGATGATGCATACAAAGGTTTTCTGTATTGTCAAGAGTTGCCTATCAAAGAAATTTCTTTTGGAGGTTTATTTATATACAGACTATTTTTATTGCTTCAAGCCAGCACTCTTGGAGAAAGGGTCTAATCTTTCTCTTGCATTATGAAGGGTCAAAATATATTTTAATATCCTCAAGGCTTATATAAGCACATCACAGGGAAGGAGAAAAGAAACCAAATGAAGCATAATCTTATCACCAGGCAATTTGGCTATAGTCCACCTTTTATATATACAAAAAAGAGAGTGCTTTATGGTCACTCTCTCAACCACTCTTTCTACCTTTCCTTGTTTTGACAGCTAGAAGTCTGTCCTCAGACTGAAATGAAAACAAAGGTCAACCAACCACAGCATTTAAAAGGGAGATTTTATACAAAACTCTGTCATTAGAGTGCCAGTAGCCTTCAAAACCAAGCACTCTTTTCACTAGAAAATAAAGCTTGCTTGAACCATGGGACAGACTGAGACCATTAGCTCTGTTGATGAGCTGTGTGCACTCACCGTATGATAAAAGGGAATCTGTAGTCATGCCCACCCCAGACAGAGCCCAATGAAATACTCAGAACAGAAATATCTTTGGTGGACATTTGGGTACTGCAGAGGTTTCATAATAAAGATATGATGTGGGATGATGGTCTGCAAAGTTTACGTAATTCTTTAACAAAATAAATAAACTCTACACCCATCTTGTTAAAATTTTGCTTCATATTTTTAAGCAATACAAATATCTAAGAAATATTTGGAATGAGTGCTACTCATGCCAAGCTATGGCTTCTTTTGCCCTTGACAGTTTGGGAGCAGTTTTGTCCAGCAAGAAATGCTTAAGGCTTCCTTTTACATTTTGACTGGTGTGCTTATATTCACTTCCAGACCCTCAATTTCTCAGGACTTTTCTTGCCACACTGCTTTCCAGAGGGATGCTAAGCCACTCTATGCTGTCCCTTTCATCATCAGGGGTCAGAAATAAGAAACACACACATTTCTGTGGTCTATCTTCACTTCTCTGTGGCACAAGGAAGAGGGATCAAGCTCTTTTGAGAAGCTCTGAATCTGCACACAACTTATAAAATTAACCAAATGCAAGGGTTCCTAGACTTAGAGCCCAAGTATCTGAAGAAAAAAAGAAAGTTTAAATGGTTTGCGTACTAGATATAAAAGTCTTGTGGCACAAAACAATAGCTTTTTGAGAAATAATTATATATATGCATAATAGGGCAGAATTAGGCTTCACAAGCCATCATAAATCTGGAATATTTCTTTTTGTTTAAGTAGGTGACTTAGTAAACTAAATTATCTTGTAGGGAGATGCAAATCAAGCCTTAAAGAAAACTATTAAAACACATCACTCTATTTCCAGGAACTCACATAGAAGACAAAGATAAACATATTTTCATGTAGATAGCTGTAATAACTTGTCAACAAGATTGATGCTAAATCCTCAGCATTGCAATCCTCAGCATCTCGTTGGTGGTTACTAATTATTACCAATATAAACCTGCATCATAACACCAGAGATATCTGAGCCTGATCATTTCCACTTTTCCACCACAGCAAGTGTGCACTTCAAGACTGGCAGGCTGGGATGCCAAAGACTGTCTGAGGAAACCAAACTCTCTCTTTCATCAGCTTACCCAAAAATTCCCAGCCTCACTGATAACACTTCATTTTGAAAGTTAAGTGGTTTTGACAAGATGTCGACATTTTGTTGAGGAGAGCAAAGTGCAAAGAAAACAATGCTTAAAAAAATTGCAACTGGACTGAACAGGAAAGGAAATGAGCTGCAAGAAAACTATAGTTATACATTCTCTTTTGTAAATATCATAACTTTGACAATGATCAATTAAAACAGCTAATGAAAAGTTCTGCTGTTTTAGGCAAATTATCACCTCATTCTTCTCCATTGTCCCTGCAAAAATCAAAATTTTAAGTTAACAAAATCTATAATTTATTTTTCTTGAATTTTGCTAGTGAAGGTGCCAGCTTATCTGCAACACCTAGTGA